ATTATTATTATTATGTGCCTGTGGGCATGCACCCCATTGTGTCCCCCTCCGTTTCCCATCTGCAGATAGGCACAGGACGCAGATTCGAAATCTGAGAAAACAGAGGGGTAACTGTATTTCAGATTTTGGTATTCTGGATTAAGTGAGACTCAACCGATACAAAATAATTCTCAAAGTAGTGAAAAACATCATTAAAAACAGATTAAAAGCAAGTTGAAAAGGGATTAAAAGCAAACTGAAAGCAGAAAGACAAGCAAACCATCACTTTTATTAGCAAATTAAAATGATCACAGCAACCAGTGTCTTGCTGACTAATATCAAGCATGAGATAAAAGAAGAAAAGGAACAACATAATTTCAGAGGTACGGCAACCTCTTACATTAGGCTGCAGGGTTGAAGATGTAATGCCTAAATTACTCTGTGACATCATCAGGCCTTTTGGTGTGACATCATCAGGTCTTTGGCAGGATGGCCTACTAGTCGCTGCAGTAACCAGTCCCTTGTGATGTCAATAGCTGAGTAGAGAAGAGTCAGTTAGCTCATCCAACTGACAAAAGAGGAGGCAAAAATGTCCACCAAGGACTCCCAAAAGGACGATGAGGTGAGTTTTGTGCAAAAGAGAAGGATTTATCGAAAAATAACACACTGGAGGAGGGGAGGGAATCCTCTTAGGTTGTGTCCGCACTGCAGAAATAATCCATCTTGACACCACTTTAATAGCCATGGCTCAATGCTATGGAAACTTGGGATTTGTAATTTGTTGTGGCACCAGAGCTATCTTGCAGAGAAGGCTCATTATCCCACAAAACTACACATCCCAGAATCCCACGGCATCGAGCCACAGCAAAGCAGTGTCAAACTGCATTAATTCATTAAAGCAGTGTCAAGCTGCATTAATTCTGCAGTGCAGATGCATCCCCATTTGGTTATAATTGGCCCTATGGAACTGTTGAGTGTTGGTTAGTTTGTTTCTTTTTTCAATATATTATGTTGAAACTAAGAATATAAGAATATACAGCTCAGGTCCAGGATATTTGAAGGGCTGTATCTCTGTATATGAGCCCATCTGAGCTCTTAAGGTCTTCAAGGTAGGTTCTTCTCTCTGCCCTGCTATCTTTTCCGGCTTCCCCACTATTTATATATCTCTGGCTGTATTGTTCTTTTTTTCCAAATTGTAAGCTGTCTTGAGTCCCAATTTTGGAAGAAAGCCAGGAATGTGATGATGGTGATGATGATAATTATAATAATACAGAGCCACCGTGGTCTAGTGATTTGAGTGTTGGACTACAACTCTGGAGTGTACGTTGTGTGCCTTCAAGTCATTTCTGACTTATGGTGACTATAAGACGACCCTGATCATGGGCTTTTCTTGGCAAGATTTGTGCAAGGTTTGCCATTGCCTTCCCCCTGAGGCTGAGAGAGTGTGGCTTGTCCAAGATCACCCAGTTTCATGGGATAATGAGCCTTCTCTACAAGATAGCTCTGGTGCCACAACAAATTACAAATCCCAGGTTTCCATAGCATTGAGCCATGGCTATTAAAGTGGTGTCAAGAGGGATTATTTCTGCAGTGCGGAAACTCAGTTTCATGGCTGAGCGAGGAATCAAATCCTGGTCTCCAGAATCATAATCCAACACTCAAACCATTACATAAGTTGTAAATGACTTGAAGGCACACAACAACAATAATAACCACAACTACCACTAACTTTCTCTTCCTTGGCTTGGCTTTGTCCTTTTTCACTTGCTGATCCATAGTGGACCTTAATACCCAAAGGCATGAGATCCCTTCTGATATTAGAAACCAAGCATGGTCAGCCTTGATTATACTTGGATAGGAGACCACCGATTAATACCAGATGCTGGAGGATATATTTCAGAGGAAGGAACTACAAAACTACCTCTTAGTATTCCTTGCCAAAGATAACTCTATGAACTTCATGGGGTTGCCATAAGCCGACTGGAAGGCACACAGACACACAGTCCTGAATATTTGTGGATGGTTTCTTCCTCTGTTGTTTTTAAATCTCAGTTGAAAACTTCCTTGTTTTTCAAAGCTTTTGGAGTTTTAGTTTAATATTGTTTCATTGTCTTGTCCATTTTGATGACATGCTTTGTCAGTTTGCTTTAATGTACTATATCTTATTGTTTTTCTGTGTGTGTCATATCTGGATAATGTGTTTTACAACTGTATTCTGTGATTTATGTGTGCATTACTCCTTCCTTCCACTGTGTGTGTGTATATATTTCAGATTGCCATTAGCAAGGCTAGCTGTTTTTTGTTTCTTATTTTACTTGTAAAGCACCATGTACATTGAGGATGCAGTATAAATAAACAAGAACATTAAAATTAACGGGAACTAGGGAGAGGGCCTTCTTGGTGGCTGCTCCCATTCTTTGGAAATCTCTCCTTAGGGAAGATAGGATGGATCCCTCTTTGCTCTCGTACTGCCAGAAAGCAAAACTGTATTTATTCTGTCAATTGGAGTTGCCCTATTGAAAACTGAATATGGCTCCTGTACCTTTATGGTTGTGTAGAAGAGAGAATTTCAGCAAACATTGCTTCTCATGCAAGAGGTAACAAGCAACATCTGCTGAAATTCCCTCTTCTACACAATCACTAAAAGTGCCTCTCCAGTTTTTACTCTGGAAGTCCTATCTGTCAGGCTTTCAGGAGCTGACCGCGATGGGTTTTTGATGGTGAGTTGTTTTGTTGATGTTTTATAACTTGTCTTTTAATTAAATGGTTTGAGTTCTGTAGACATCATGCATCTGAGAAAGTAGACTTAAGTCTTCGAAAGCTTATGCTGCCAACTTCTTTCTTTCAATTAGTCTCAAAGGTGCTACAAGATCTCTCTACACACTAGCTCTGTAGATTGTTTTAAAAATAACGCAAACACAGACACACACTTCTGGATTTTTTTGTATGTTTTTAATCTGTACTGGTTTTAGTAATTTGTAAGCCGCCTTGAGTCCTAATATTAGGGGAAAGGTGGGATATAAATGAATTAAATAGTAGTAGTAATAGTAGTAGTAGTAGTAGTAGTAGTAATACAGGTTGAGTCTCACTTATTCGGAATTCTGAAATCCAAAATATTCCAAAAAACAAAATTTTATTCATAGGTGGCTGAGATCATGGCACCATTGTTTTCTGATGGTTCCATGTACACACACTTTTTTCATGTACGCAAAAATATTTTAAAATATTGTATAAAATTACCTTCAGGCTATGTGTATATAGTGCATATGAAACATACATGAATTTTGTGTTTAGACTTGGGCCCCATCTCCAAGATATTTCATTACATACATAGATGTAAATATAGATATTCCAAAATTTTTAAAAAAATATATCCAAAATCCAAAATACCTCTGGTGTGCCAAGCATTGTGGTTAAGGGAGATTCAACCTGATTATACCAATAGTCTGTCTATTGTGGCCTAAAATATATGGTAGCCTTAAGAAAGGATGAGTTGGTATCCCCTCCTGTTATATTTGAGTAAAAGCCAGTGGGATTGACACTTGATATTACCAAAGGATTAAAAACTGGGTCTTTTGAGGGAATTGAAGGCTATCTTAGTGGGTGCTCCATAGTACTATCTTCTAACCAAAGCTTGGGAAAGTTATTGTGATCTAATTTGCAATGTCCCTGAGCCAGCATGGCCACCGTCAGGGGGATTCTGGGAGCTGTAGACCAAAAAGTAGCCTTCCCAAGCTTTGCTTCTAATAATGTGCTGCCACCGGCCAAGATGAGCTACCTGAGGCAGCTGCCTCATTCTGCCTAATGGTAGAGTTGAGTCGAAATTCATCTAATCAAGCATCTTGTTTTTCTGCAACCAAATGCCTCAAGGAAGGCCACACATGTGGCTCAAAGGTTTTTCCTTGGGTTGCTCCCCACAACAGGTATTCAATGAAATACTTCCCACTGAACTTGGCAGTTCAATGTAGCAACCATGTCTAATTGCCACAATAGATCTCTCATGAATTTATTTAATCCTCTGTTTAAAGCTAGTGTCCATCATCACATCTTGTGGTGGATAATAAATAATAAAGTAAATGCTGCATCGCGTGATCAGCTAAAGTACGCATTGTATGATGAAATAAATTCTCCCCTGTGTGCTGAATCTCCTGACTATCAGTATACCATTTACTCCAGGTTACCTGCAGTCCTGTTCATGCCTTCCTGGGATGAATGCCACTGAGCTCAGTAAGGCTTTCTCCGGAGTAGATTTATTTGGGATGATACCGTGATTGTGCTAGTATTTTGGATAATGGAGAGAAACATCCTTCTCTTCTTTTCCCTCCAGTCTCCCCATTCTCAGGAGGACAGGAGGAGTAATCTACTGTATTTGAGTTTAACCCCACAAGCCATTTTAACCCCAAGGACAGTGGATTACTCTTCCTGCCATCCCAGAATGACCCTTTGTGGTAAGTACAACTTCTCATTTTCTACATATCAGTCTACCACTGTTTTCAGCCATAATGCAGGAATTGCTGCGCTATGGCTTCTTTCTGTACTCCTCAGATAACAGAGCCAGGGATCATGTGAAAAAAGCTGAGTCTGTGGACGTTATCACATGGGGGCAAATCTGCTGGTTAATCCACACAA